AGACAAAGCCACTGTACAACTCTGCTCCTTCTCCTTTCACTGTGCAACTTGAAAGTAATGATGGCAAATTACTGTCAGGGAAATTCATTTTCACAGTGTACGCGGTAAAGCACTGGAATAAGTTGTTTGGAGAGATGGTGGAATCTCCATCCTTCAGAGTAGTCAAAACTTAACTTTTCTTATTTTGTCTCTGGTGTTCAATGGAAAGTATAGCCTTTTGTGGCTCAGAATAGCTCCACGCTCCTCACTGAAAAGTGTGTATGGTTAGTGTTTTTTCCTTCTCTGTGCAGGTTAGGTACTGAGAAGGGACAAAGGCTTTAGAAACTCTGAAGCAGCCTTCATCTCTACTTAAAGGGGAGAAAAAACCTGCTACATCTACTTCCCACATACAGAGAATGATGCATGGGTGAAGGACTTCTGTGCTCTTCTGTGAGAGTAGAAGTTGCCTGAACTGATAGCTGTGGGAGTGGGATTGACTGTAGATTTGCAGGAAGTGGATGAACAACTCTGGGATTGGTGCCTGCAGTGCTAGAAGCTCAAAATTCGTTCCTTGATATAGCTGAGAAAGTGGACAATGCTGTGGGCTCTTGGTCTCTTCTTTTTTTTTTTTTTTTTTTTTCCTCCTTTCTTTCCTGATTCTTCCTCTTGCCACCAGATTGTGCAAAACTTTTAAATAGCTCATGATTTTTGAGCCTAATCTCTATTTTTATCTTGGAAGGGAGGGGAAGGATGTTAGCAATAATTCACCTTGGTAGTGAATGATCACCTTTCTTCTCAGGCATCTGTTTCTTTTTTTTACATTAATATTTTCATGGTGATGGTATGTCTCAGTAGAAGGAGGCAGTGTTGCTAGGCAGCAGTTTGAGCACTTTACAGATGCCGTGTGATGGCAGTAAGCTGCCTTGTAATAATCCATTGGTGGCAGTATTCCTGGCTGAGGTCCTGTATTGCAAAAAGAGAGAAGCATCTTTGACAGGAACAGATGCTGCCTAGCAACTGCCAGTGCTCCCTGACCAGCCTGAAATGCTTCCACTTAATTGTAGTGTAATTTTGGTAATATATAGAAACTTAAGGATAACGGATTGCTTTCAGTTCTATGGTATATATTTTTTTTCCTCAAGGTTTTGCATAGAAGTTCATAGAGACCATTAATAATGTCAAGAAATTCTTTAGCTCTCTTTGAAAATCATGTCTTTTATTTAATCCCTGCTTTTCGATTGTAATGTCTGGATGGCTTTTAATCAGCTTTTGATAATCTTTTTTTTGTGTTTGTATTACATTAGTGCCTGGCAGTTCCAATCGGATTAGAGCCCTGTTCTGTGTGGTGCTGTACCAGTATACTTTGTAAGAAATTGCCCTTGCTGCAAAAAGCTTGTGTTGCTTTACTTGGGTTGATGGGTTTTTAGGGTGTAATTGGATATATTTTCTCCTTCATATAGAAATTTTTATATTGTCCATCTTACTTAAATGGCAGAGTGTTTTAGAAGTGCTGGATTTTTTTTTTTTTTTTGCTCTTATTTTCTTTGTGAACATACTTTCTGAGTGTGACTTGAACTTGCAAATAAATTTGCATGTCTCATTCATTTTTGGCAAATAACTGAAGTCCCTACCCATAATGAATCATTTAAATACTTGGAATGTATACTGTGGAGGTGAAGGCATTTTCATTTTAATTTCCTTGTGATTGTACTCCTTTGTTGAACATCATCAGAATCTGACTGTGAAGTCTCTGAAGCTGCCAGGTTTAATCAAGCAGTTCCACTAAAATCTAATCATATCAGCCTTTAATTTTGCAATAAAAATGCTGGAGGGAGGGGTTTTCTGTAAACTATTTTGTGGTCTTTTAAATGATTAGAGCCACAGTTTTCTGTCTGAGGAATTACTCCTTTGTTACAGGAAAAAGGTTTGTAGTTGCGAGACGCTCGGACTGGAAGGTGGATTTTTGGGTTGGAAAGTTTTAGTTCTTTGCTGCCTGTAGGAGGGATTGTGTAACACTGTTGCTTAACAAACAGTCAAGCTAAATCTTGAAACATAGGTTTCTTTTCTTCTGTGGGGTAACTTCTATCAGTATTTTTCCCTGTGTCATCATATTGCTGTAGCTTAAAGGCCTCTCCCTCTCTGCCATCTGTAAATACAGAGAATTAACATCTCTCACCTTTCTTGGAAAAGAAATTGATAAGGAAAGATAGCTTATATTATATCGATTATAAAATTGTGAATGGTATGAAGTAAAAGAGTAAAAATGGTTTGATTACTTTATAGATGTATAAACCAGGGGCATTGGTGATGCAGGATCTGAGGGAGAAAAAAAAACAGGTTCTACATGGTGCATAAGTGAAACATGGAATTTTGGCATGATACGGATGTTAAAATTTGATAGTGTTCGAGAAATTTGGATGGCTCTATAGAAGAAAAAGTATATGAAGCTATCAAATATATATTATAAAGTAATAATAAAAACCCTTCTACCTTAGGAAATCCTGATCCACAAATTACTGGAGTTGGAGAAAGCTACATCCTTGCTCTGTTCTAATACTCTTCCTTCACCACCCCCTTTTAGCCACTGTTAGGGAAAAGATACTGGATTTAGAGCCATCTTTCGTCTCACTTAATAGAGTAACTCTTAAATTATGTTATATGGAGCCTTTATGGTCATTTAGGGGCAGGGAGGAAAATCATGATCATCTTACTCAGCTGTTAGAAACAGCTTTGTGATATTAGGCTCTCTCAATAAATGAATCCTTGTGGAAGGGGAGGGGGGAAAGCATTTTAAGCATTTATGATAAATTAATGTTTATGACACAGAATGTATCAGGCTAGAATAATCTACATTTTTTTAAAGATCAATCAGTCTTAACAAATCAGTCTCAAATATTGACCTGTACTGCATGTTAACTCGTAGTTTAATATGAAATATAAAATGTACAATCTTGCAGTGTAGACTACTTAAGAAATTACTGTAATTCTTTGTGTGGTGAGAATTGGGGTAAGAAGAGGTATTTAATGGGGGATAAGTATCATGTACAAAGTATCACTTTACAACTCTTTCTCAAGTTCGAAATAAACTATAGAGTTATAGAAATAAGTCTGGAATTTGGATAATGACTGTTACTGCTATGCTTTTATTCATGTAATAAGTATTTTTCAGAATGATCCGTTCAGTCTACTTGATTTGCCTCTGAGCCTTTGTGTTTTTGACTTTTTTTCAGTGTCAGTTGTAAATTAAAAAATATATATATTTGGTTAATTTGCCAAACTGTGGCATGTGACATCTTTGTTTCAAACTTAAAACAAACAAACAAACAAAATCTCAAATTTCAGACCCATTTTAATGATATATAATACATTTATGTGTTTACCCAATAATAAACATAAATACAGAGCGCTTAGCTGGTGTGATAGAGGTGTTAGTTTAAGATTCAATTATGTATTGTAAAGCCTAAATTATGTGCAACATCAGAAAATTTCAGAAGAACTTTGAAATTTATAGCACAGAACAAAATTATCTGTGCAGATTGATTATAAATTGGTAAGATATGGAGCTCATTAATTTGGGTAGAGAACCACACAAATGCAGCTATGCTTCTCCTATTTATTACCCTTGTCATTGCTTCTGGAATTAGTTTGGCTGAAGGTGTGCTTAGGACATGATTAATATGTAGCATGAATAGCTGCAAGTTGACTTTAGTACAAAGCAGCTATGAAAATTAAATGGCATACTTTAACTTGAAATGTTTGCCTGTGGTTTTTTCATGTCATCTAAAAATCTTTATCAGAATTTTGGTCAGGTAATAATAATGAATAGAGAATTTGAAAAAAACTGTCACAAGGGCCAAGAAGATTTCTCTTTTGAAGCAATGAATAAACAAAGATATGTTGATAGTTTGCAAAATAATAATTATTGCAGAGAATGCAGTTTAAGATTTTGTTTCTTTCTTTTGTCACATTGTACAGCTAAAAAGACCCAGTGAAACTTAAAAATGGCAAATTCACAGCTAATAGTATGAAAAGTTATTTTTTTCCAAAGTTAACCTGTAGAACTCGCATGTGAAATCTAATTTAACGTTTCTCTTAACTGTGAATTGAGGTCACAAACTGGTGGATAGCAAGGGACAATAGAAGCTCTGACTGTGATTCCATAGTAAAAGTGTGAGAGAGAGCATAACAGTCAAATGAAATACCAATTTCATTAAGCATCCTGCCCTTGATAGCTGCAAATAGCAGGTGTTTACAGAATGGTAGTGCAACAGGATAACCACATGTGATACTTTCCCAAGACTTAAGTAATTTGTGGATCAGGGACTTTCTAGCCTAAAGTCATACGCCTAATAGCTCTCTGGCTTTTCTTCCATTAATTTGTCCTGTTTCCTTTTGAACTTGGGTGAACTTTTAGCAGCCACAGCATCTTGTGAGGAGTTTCACAGTTTAACAATGCATTGTTTAGAAAAAGTAGTTTTTAAGGTTCTGAACTACTTTGCTATTTAGTTTGACATTCCCCTGCTTTTTGTACTGGCAGAAATGGTTAACAGTTGTTCCTTGTTCACCTTCTCCATGCAACTCAAGTGTCAGGACCTCAGCCATACTCACTCCACCCCTTTCAGCTGTCGGTCTTACTGACTTATTAGTCAGTCATATTCTGGTTAATAATTCATGATGTAAAAGCCCCTATACAGTCTTTGGTATCTCTTGTCTCGCTTCTTTCTGCCCTTTCTTATGTTGCTTTATCCCTTTTGACAAAGGGAGAAGGGGGAAACTGGTACCTAATATTGTAACATGGAGGTTTTTTTGTGAATTTTATACAGTACTATATGTAATGATGTCTTCTGTTTTATTCTCCTCTAATGATACCTTGCTGCGATGTGATGGTGGGGGAGAAGGAGGTTAACAGTTTTTATTAATACTCAGTCACAGTCAATACAATTCCAGCATTTCAATCAATGTGGTAATAGCTAGTTGAGAGCCCATTATTTTGTATGTGAGGTTAGGATTGTTTTGTCCTTATGAAACACCATGTAGGTAAGGTAAATGGTGTACATCTGCTGTTTCTACTGCTAGTATTGTTAGGTCTTTCTGCAACTCTTTACTACCATGAAGAGCTCAAGTGACCTCAGCGAACTGTCACTTGCCTATTTGCCTGCTTTTCTGGATCATTTCAAAATATTTTAAACAGAACAGGTTCTAACGCTGATCCCTTTAGAGCTTGCTGATCAGTCCGTCTTTACTAGGAAAACTAACCACTTACTACTTTTATTTCCTAACTTTTGGCTACTTATTTATCCATGCAAATACCTTCACCCTTTATCACAGACAAGTTCAGTGAGGAATGACTGATGTATACAAAGACATTAGTGACTCTTTCTCAAGATAGCGTGTTTGTCCATGTGCCCTTTAAGTCTATGTTTTAAAATGGTTTCTCTTGCCGCTGGCGACTTACCTTATGCAGCTGCTTGTATTATGTCAGGGCATGCACTTAGGAGGAGGAGGCTCACTTGACTGGGCGGTTCAATGGTACTGACATAAAAGGTGCTCAGGGAGGAGCTGAAATGCAGCTCTCTTGCATGACAGTCTCTCTTTTATAGGAAAAAAGTAAGGACATTGCCCACTGGAGGTCACTATTTCAACTCTTGGGATTCCACTAGGTGTGTAGGTAAAATATAGGGAGTGCTCCTTATCTGTATGTGTATTTTAGAACAAGATACTTGGATGATTACATTAAATCTGTGTCTGAATGAGGTTTTTAAACATTGATGATGAGATGTATGAGACTTTTAAAAAAAAAAAAAAGAAAAAAAAAGAAAAAAAAAAGAAAAACCTTATTTGTAGTTTATCCTTTGTTTTGACACTAAGCCATACCCCTATTGTGTTTTAATAACTATTGTTAAAGAATATATTATTATACATTCTTACAAAATTTTTAAATGTTTGTAAAATTGGGGTTCGTTGTGCAACTTTGGATATTCATGTTTTCTGGAACGTTAAGACAGGTTCTTATTTTTACTGGATAATGAAAACTAAAAATATCTGGGAAAATGATGTTTAAGATGAATACCATCTTGGTTGCTCAATGTTTATGAAAAGTACAGATTCTTATGTACTGTATCATATTCATATTAATGCACACTATTATATTTAGGATTTTTGCAGTCTTGCGATCTTGGAGGAAAGTGATTCCTGCAGATGACTTCCTGTTACATTGTTTAATGCTCAGGAATAAAATTATTGACCCTTGTTAAGTCAGGATTGCCTGTTCCATTAAGTTGTGTAGACAAGGAAATCTTCATTGTCAGTATGAGTTTATTTGAGGTCAGTGACTAAATGACTACAAGCTTTGCTTAATTCAAAAATCTTTTAAAAAAACAGCTTTTATGTTGCTACCAAGCATAACTTGTGATAACGGATAAAATAAAGATACCTGATGAGCAAAAAGTTGGCTAACATGTTTTCTGGGCAGCTGTGTAGTAGTTATTTTATGTAAGGAGCAAGCTAACGTGCTATGCTTTGCATGAATTTTTATTCTAAGATTCATCCCTCATGAGTCTCTCTCTCCCTCTCCCTCTCTCCCTCTCTTTCTCTCTTCCTCTTCCCACCCTCTAGTGATATGCAGCTTCCGAGGAGCTGTACCACAAGGCTTAGTCCTGGAACTAGGTGAAACTGTCCAGATTCTAGAGAAATGTGAAGGTAAGTGTGATGCCTGAAGAGAATCCTGTTTTCTATATAAAAATATACAAATCTTATAATATAGCAGTTTTTAAGTTGTTTTGGAATCATGATGCATCAAATCAAAGCACTTGGATAAGACCTAAGCTGACCCACTTTCTGTAGGAAAGGCTGAGTGCTGTTGGCACTAATCCAGTCTGATAGGGGGTCAGTGTGTTTTTCAGTTAACCATCTGTCCAGAAAATGTTGAACCCTGACCTGATTGTTGTATTGGAATTGGGTCTTACAGTGAATTTTCATCATGTTAAATGTAGAATCAGTATCTTGAATTTTTTTGACAATTTTTTCACTATTTTCTTTATGTATTTCAATTCAGTTTACCAGTGCTTATTTTTAGAAACATCTGAACGTGTGAAAAATATTACCTATGAAATACAGTAGCAGATGATTTGGGACCAATACTGGAAAAAACAAAGAATACTGGTTTAGGGAGGATTGCTTTGCATTTATCTCTCTGTGCTCTTTTTCTACCTAGAGGAAAATGCTATTGTAAGTGTTATAACCATGGTTCGTTCTTATGTGGCTGGAGATGTCTGTATATGAATAGATTGAGTGTCCCGGTCTTTTGTTTTATTCATGTGAATAGTCTGATTGAAGTTGATGTATTTAAAAGGACAGTGATTTTTATTCAAATGTTCAGAATAAGCAAGTAGAATGAAACATGCTTGCAATGCTTTGAGAAGCAAGTTGACAAGATACAGTATGAGAACACATTTCACTGTAGCATTTGAAATGGAATAGTGAAACCTTAATCCTGAAATGTTAAAAGCATAAATTCAGAGCTCATATTCTCAAATCAGAATTCCAGCTTGACATTCCAGAGCTGTAGTTTTGGTTTTGTGTCTTAGTTTATGTTCATTTTTCATCTGTAGTGTTAACATTGCTACAGAAACCTTCTGCATGCTTCTTCAGGAGACTACTTTTCTCCTCTCATGCCCAAAACTGTCTGTTGCTCTTGATGCTTTTCTCTTGTAAACAAACTATCTGAATACTTGCTGGTTTACCCTTCAGTGCAAAAGTGACCTCATATATTACTTTCCTAGAAAAAAAATATAGCTTCATCTACACCTATTTAAAAAAAAATTCTATTGAATGAGAGTTTTACAGTTCAGTGATGGTGTCTAATCTGCAAAGAAGCATGTTGTAATCAACAAGTGTCTTATTACACCCAAGAATAATATATATGTATTCTTATGTGTGTTGTTATGAGGTAGGCTGTACTCCAGCACTAAGTGCTGATTGTAGTCATGCTACCAGCTCTGGTGAATTAGCACGGAAGAGTTAATTACTAGCATATGAGGAAGTGTGTATATTGTTGAAAGCATTGATGGTCATGTTATTTTCAAACCATTTCTGGTAATCCAGGATACTTTCAAAATTCTGAAAAATAAAGGCATAATATTGAAGGAGCTGCTTGTTTACAGAAAAGCAAAAGAATAGTCTAATATCTCTTTACAATATTATAATAATTTTTCTCTATATAATTTCCTTTGCCAGTAATTCTTGAGGAAGATTCCTAAAAAGAAATCTGTGCCATTCTTTAAATGATTGAGAAAGGAGGCTCTAGGAAAGAGTTTTCCTGGCTGGATGGGGGTGTGTGTTTCTGCATATGTGTGATTTTTTTTTTTTTTTTCTGCTTGTTTGTTTTTGGGATGGAGGAAAGGGGAAGAAAGGGATATTTTTCCTCTATCTTGCCATTTTGTTTGCAGTGCCTTTAGCAGTAAGAGTTGGGAAACTGAAAAGATGTATTAATTTTGATGATAACATCTGGAGCTGCGCAACATGGTACGCTAAATGTTCAGGTGGTCTGTGTTACAGCTTTTGTATGTGTGAATTACACAAAAAAGCATGCAAAACATGCAAAGTAGCTAAAAGGAAAAAAGGAAATTGAAAAAAATTGTTCGAGCGTTCTATTTTAAGTGGTTGTTTAACACAGTACTTGGTTTGCTTTGCAAAATCAGGATGAAATGTGACTTCATCTTCTACCTCTGCATTATTTACTTAGGATTCTCATATCTGGACAGATTGGATATTTGTATGGATTAATGTTAATTTTTTAAGGATCACTGAGAGTCATCAGGAGATCCATTGTTGTTTTCTTGAAATAGATTGGGCATAATTCTCTGCAGTAGGGACTTCACTCTGGGCAAAAAGGGTTCATACACATGCAAACCTTCTAGTGACTTGAAGAGTGATTTCTGAGACTTGCTGAAGAAATCTGTGCTGACAAAATTCAAGTGCTGGTTGTACCTCTGAACAGTTTTTAATCATAATTAGTTATTCAATAGCGATTACAGAAAGTGCTGTTTTGGAGTGACTGGCATAAAAAGTAGTTACTATATTTAGAGCATATTCATTTAAAGAGTAGGGATTTTCCTACATCAAGTTCTTCTCAAGTACCACTGCAGCTAAGTTTTATGTATGCAGTGTAAAAGGGTGTGTATAGATATATATGCAGTAAAGGAATGGAGCTTTTGAATTCTTTAAGGCTAAAAAGTATGAATACTAACTGATATATTAATAAATCCCTTTTTCACTGTGGTTGTCTACTTTTTTTTTTTTTAAATGCATAAGGAAGTATGGCTGTCTTTTTTTTAGTATGGATTTTGTGCATATGCTTGAAGTTGGAATTTTTGAATTTCAGTCACTTGTGCGTCCTGTTGCTTTGTGTGCTTTTTGTATCAGGCCACAAAGTTCTAAACTGCCTGCCCCAGTAATTCAACGTGACAGGTTTCAGACCCATGGACTAAAGTCTGCCTTTCCTTTGAAGCTACCAAGAGCTCCATCTAAGTTTTCACCAAACTTTTTGCTATCTCTAAAGCATATGACGCTACTAGGGCAGTTTTATAGTTAGTTTGCATAAATTGGCATGCCAGTGGTTTCATTCAAAGAGATTCCTACTGGTAACAAATATTCTTCAAGATGTCAGCCATACGTATATTTGCCTTTCACAGCTCTCCTCTCTGTCTCTGGGTCCTTCCTAGTATGACCCTGCCACTGAGAGAGAATTAAATTAGTAAGTGGTGTTCTTTGCTTTACATGCCTTGCATTGAGGAGGAGAAAGGGAGTGGCTATAATATGCCTGTGTTGAATACTGAAAAGCAGAGCTTTATGTTCTTGAGATACAGAGCTTGAGTATGCCTACTGTTTGAAGTATATATGCAGACTACATATCTCAAAGAACACCTTCTATCTTGAGTCACATGGCTGTTGCCTGTCACTGATAGATCTGCAGAATGAACATCCTTCTTTGGGTTAACATTGATGTGTCAGTTCAATGGGGAGGGTATCAGAGTAAACTGACTGATAAAGACAGAAAAGGTAGTAGAAAAATCCCCGTAGGAATTTTTTTCCCCGCGTTTAGATGACAAAGTATCTTAATTCCTTGCTGACACGTGATCTTAAGTACAGACATTGGTATAATCAGTTCTCAGAAAGTGTGGCTATGAGTAGTTGCATTCTGAGTAAGTTTAGAAAGACTATCTTGCCTGTTTATTTTTATTGCTAGGAAGCAATTTCTTTAAAGTAAAAATGCTACAACGTCAGTGACTTAAATTATTAGCTTGAGGCCCTGTATATTCAGAGAAGAGGAGAAACAAGTAGCTGAAGCCTCAAGCACCATTGAGAATATTACCTTGCCCATGCAAATTCTGATATCTACACGTTTATTTTTATTCACATGGTTTAATTTGTGTATATAATGATAATAGCATTCTTAAGCCATGCATGTAATGTATTTAAAGCTTCCTTCTGTTATCTCCAGCAGGGACAGTGTGGCCACATGAAGGCTTTCCAGTGTTTGGGATGTACAAAAGTTCCACTGTTTTCTGTTAAAGTGGTTTTTATCATCAAAGAAGTGGTTTTTATTGTCAAAGTTTTTTGGGGGGTTAGGGGGGAGAATGTTAAGTCTAGTCCATAAATACATTTGAGCAGCAGATATAGCTTACAGTGAGAGACAGAAGTTTGTCTTTGCAGTAACCGTACAGGTTGCTTTCTAGACCCTCTCCTCTTTGGTGAGTAGCATAAACTGTCATTTTAGTTTCTTTTAGTCATTCTGCTGTTAGAATTTTCTGCCCTTTTTTTTTTTTTTTAAATGTGTAACAATTTCTCTTGCCAGTTTGAGATTCAATGCCTTCGTAGAACATTTCTGAACCACAGAAAGTTCCACCTAAACCTGAGGAAAAAACTTCTTGACTGTGAGGGTGACAGAGCATTGGAACAGGTTGCCCAGCGAGGTAGTGGAGTCTCCTTCCCTGGAGATATTCAAAACCCGTCTGGATGTGATCCTGGGCAATATGCTCTAGGTGACCCTGCTTGAGCAGGGAGGTTGGACTAGATGATCTCCAGAGGTCTCTTCCAACCTAAACGATTCTGTGATTCTTCTGGTTATGCTGTCATCCGTAAGAGTTATATTCTACTTCCAACTTGCATCTAGGGATGAATGAGGAATCACACTTCAGACTTTCATTGCTGTGGGAACAGTGCAGGCTTCCTGTCACCTGGAGTCAGGAGCTGTCCTGTAGCTGGCTTAGCCAAATTGACTCACTCCCAGCAATGTTGATGTACCCTAAGAAAGATGTCCCTGGTGAGATATCCTCTTTCCTCTTTGCCTTTTGCAGTGCATGCCAGTGGAGCTGACACTTCTTGGACCCTCATAGCTGCTGTGGAAAATCTTTCCTGGCAATTCATATTTGACCTCTCTTTACTTGGCTAAGGCCAAGACAAAACACTAAGATCACGTTCTACCTCGTCTGCTTTTCTTATGGCATCTCTGGCTGCAATATTAGCATTTTCCTGTGGTTCTGCTGGCACGAAGCTGCTCCCTGACATAGCGTTGGCAGGCTGGGTTGGGGTATTTATCTGCTACTCATCCAATCCTGGCACTGCTAGGGGCCTCAAGCTCAGAACAGAGTGGTCTTGGCATTGAGGAGTCTCAGCATCAGACCTTTAAAAAGCTCTATTACCATCCCTTTTCTGGCTCACTTTGAGCACCTTTAGGTATGCACAGAGGCTCTGCAAGCCAATTATATAAAGTTTAAAAGGTGAAAGGAATTATTCATGGTCTAACATGAGCAAAATATAGCTGAGTTTTAGCTACAAGGCTAAGCATTACTATGTTCACCACCCCCAATAAGGCCTCCAGAGTGGAGTCTTTGGCCGGGTGCTTGTCAGCCAGGAGCAAAAGAGTTGGCCTCCCCTGCTCCCTGGAACATCAATGTTGCTAAGTTGCCGTTGTCCACTAAATTTGCTGGCACTTATAGCAGTGACTGACAGGCACCCTGTTTTTTTTTTTTTTTTTTTTTTTGTATTAGAGTTTTTATGTTTCCATATTGGCATTTCTCGTGTTGAATCCTTGAGCTAGTAATGGTCTCTGTCTCCACAAGCCTATCCTATTGGGCTGTAACTTCCCCCCCGCCCCCCTTACAGACTTTTCCCCAGCTTCTTCTCACAGCTTAGCGGTTTTCTCAAAGTTTGAGCCAAGGTTAGACAATGGTGCTGCATTGGAGCTAGTCCTTGGAACATGGACAGCCTAGGAGGAGGAAGGGAAGGTGACAGAAAGGGAGAGAGTTACCCTGGGTGCTGGGTCTTGGAGCCTTCTGGTTCAGTAGTTAGAAGCATCATGCTGTTCTCAAAACTAATGCAGAAAGTTAGTGCATTTTCCAGGCTTGAGGGGTCATCGTATCGTTCTTCCAAGGATCACATGTCTGTGAGTGATAGGTCATCTGCCTGAGCTGAGGAGGAACTGGGACCACGCTACCGTAAGGATGGGAGACCTTTACCAGGTGTTCTCCAGAGACTTACCTACCTCTTTGGACATCCTCCTTTGTGACACCAAGGTCTGCAGGAGTATCCTGCAGCCAAGGAATACGCTTTGCACTCTGAACTCATCTAAAGGCCTGTCAGTGAGGCCTTTCTGCAGGCTGTCTATATGACAAGGCAGTCACCAGCTGCTTGGTGTTTCACTTTTGAGAAGTGAGAGTGGTAGCAGTGGGATAAGACATGCTGTATGTATATGCCTTAATACTGTCTCTGATTGCTAGCCCTACTTCTGTCTAATCCAGAAGAACATGCTCCTGAGATCAGAAGGCAAGGAGATGCCTTGAGCTTATTTTTTTCCTCCCTCCTGTTCTACCTGGTGAGCAACTATGCTTTGTTTGCCAGATAGTAGTTTAAGTGCTTTAGGGAGGTTTCTGGCTTCAAAACAGTTCCTGTCCTATCTTGAAAGTGTTCTTTTTTCCTTCTTTCAAGAATGCTTCATACACAGCAAAGCACTATTAAAGTATGTGTGTAGACCACATTCCAAAAAGTAGTGTTTACCTGTTGATGATCTTTCTTTCTAGCCCATTCTTACTATGTCTATCCAACGTTTTCTCGTCTTTCTGTTCCCTTTCCTTTTGCTTTTGCTACAGTATGTGTTACCATGCCTTGTGTGCTTTCTATCTCCGTTTTTGCCATGTTCTGGATGTGTTTTTTAAGTCTTCTGTAACATTCTTAATTTTTGTAGTCCTGTTGGGTTCCTTTTCACTTTTTTTTTTTCCCCCCTCCCCCAACTGGCGCTTTTGTGGAGACAAAGCTTATGTGATAGGTTTCAGTTCCCTTTTATTCCCTGTCTCCATAGTAAATTTTGGGCAGTAAATTTGGAGTCTGTCATTGCCACTGAAGTATTTTGTCTTAAAGGCTTGCGGAAAGTAATAAAGGGAACTGATACCTCATGTTTTGTCTTTGTATGCTTCTGAGGTTTGCATATATGTTTACGGCATCCTAAGTTTGATTCTTGGCTTTACCATCAGCCATACAAAGGAATAGGGAGCTAAATCCCAGCAGCCTCCCTTGCTTTCGTTTTAAGTATCAGTGTACCCTTGTGTTGATGATCAGTATGCTCCAGTTTAATGTAATATTATATTTTTCATAATAATGTTTTAGTTGTTGAATTAATCACCAAACTTCTTATTCTACATGCTAATTCTACATGCTAATCTACATGCTATGAGTATGTTCCAAACTCATACTTCTTATTCTCTTCCCAGTTTTTAGCAATGACCTTGGCTCTTATTTATCTGAGTGATAACAGAGAGCAGACTTCTTGTTTCTCTTTATAGTCTGTATTTGGTTTTGGTGTCTAACATGTACAGTTCCAGATTGATTACTAGGTAAAAGTTTGTGGTCGACCATTTTGCTGTGGTCAATGTGCAATGCAGTCAGGCTATTGTTGCTGTCCTTTGGAAGCTAATTTGCAGACTTTGTCCCAGAAGATTGTACTTGGCAAAGGTCAGAATGAGTGTCTCTGTCTGTCTGTGTCTCTCTTTTTTTTTTTTAATCCCCATCCCCCCCCCCCCCGCCACGCCCCGCCATGTCCGGTAGCTACTTTGTCTGCTTTTAGTAAATCAGCTGAGGAACAGCAGCAGTATGCATCTTTTGGTTATATGCAGCTACTTGGAAGTCCTAGTGAGAGTTGAATGTATGGAGGCAAAACCTTTGGAAATATGAAAAATATAACTTTTTTTCTACATGCTTAAAGGCAATTTATGCCTTCTGTAGCACAAATAAAAGGCATTTTTCTGCCATACTTGAAGATTACTCATAGTACTGTAAAAATCTTACTAATCTAATGTAATAATAAGTGGCTAAGAGTGTTCTTTTTTGTTTTTTTTAATAATTTACATGTGAACTGTACTTGCTTTTATCCCTTGGACAGCGATTACCTTTTTCCTAGATAGTTTTAGTATTAGCTATCAAGCAGTTGCAAACACTTGCAATCCTTCATGTTCTAACTAAATGTCATCCAGTGAAATAATTATCTTGAAATAATAAAATATTTGGGTACATTTGTGATAGAAATTCAGTCTTTTTTTCAATAAGTTTTTAAGTTGTAGATAAAGAAGGAGGAGTAAGATCATGTTTGGAGTTTTTGTTTAGTTTACAGATAGCTGCAGTAGGTTAGATGGCCAAGTAGCTGAAAGTTGTGTTTCTTGAAACGCCTTTTTTCTTAAACACAGAAGCCTAATGTCTAAAGAGATTGTTCTGCATTTAAAGAACAAATGTCTTTAGATTTATAAATCAGAAAACTTCTTAATATATGAAGCTCTCTAAAAACTCTAAACCAGACTAAAAAAGAAAAGAACCAGAATAGAACTGTATGTTGCTTGAGTGGAACTAGAGGAAACTTAAAATAGAAAAAGGTGATTCTAAAAACTCTAAACCAGACTAAAAAAGAAAAGAAAACAAGAAAAACTAAGATCTGGAGAGCATGGCCTAAATAGAAAGACTGAGGGGAAATAAACCAGTTTTAAAATGTGTGCAAGTATCTTCCAACAAACTGGTTTCTGTATTCTCCAAAAGAATGTATGCATATACTCATATGATTGTCATGAAGTCTGACCAACTAAGAAATAAATTGAAGATAAAATTTTCCTTTGGATCATATGCAATAATTTCCTGGGAAATCAAGTCTTCATGTTATGTCCTATTCCATTGCTTTGCGTTCTGGGGTTGGAGTAGTAGACCCAAATATGAAGAGAGCAGTATGTTTTTAATGAGGATGCAGGATGGTTTTACACATCCTATGGAGTGGAAGAGCCACTGTGGTAAATGAAGTATGCTCTTTTTCTACTGGTAGTGTTTTCAAGCTTCTGTATAAAGTAAGCAATAACACCATTTAATGTAGTGTTTTATCTGGTTTTAGGTTGGTACAGAGGTGTTTCAGTTAAGAAGCCCAATGTAAAGGTAAGTGTGAATACATTTTCTTAATTTAGTGGGAGATTCTCTCAACTTCACTGAAACAGTTCTGTAAAATTTTACTTTTTCCTTACCCTTAGGATTCCTTTTCTCTTTAACCTTCTTCATGTCAGAGGATTGGATTTATTCTCTAAATTCATAGAACAATACTTGTATGACTATATTCCTCTTTTAATGGAAAAACCTAAATTCATTGTGCCTTACATCTACTGCTTAAGTATATGTTCAGTTTTGATATGAGAACTTTTCAAACCTTCTGTAGTTTCTTAGATGACCAGCATAGGATCAGAGGAATACTACTTGGAAGGGAGCCAAACAAGCAAACTGAAGTAGTGTTTCTTCCTTTTGCATATTTTTGTATTTCTGAAAGCATACCTGTTTACTTTTGACTTTCAGTGAAGCCGTTCCTGTTAGCTTTATCATTTCTTTCCCTTTGATAAGCAAGATTGCAATCGAGGAGGAAAATTTTTCTCAACACTTTCAATAGTCTATATTTAATATGCTTTTCTTCCACTTCCCCTCCATGAAAATCTGTCTTCAGAGCTTTAAAATTTAGCACAATTTGTGAAAATTTACAGTTCACACTAGATTTCTGTTTTTGTTGTTGTTTTTAATCTGCATATTAACTACACTGATCTTGCATTTACCATGGAACTGCAGATTTATCATTCTTACAGATTGACTAAGTTCACTCTGTCTGAAGATTCAGGATCATGTCATTTAAACTGATAATGGGATGCTGTGAAAAGTTTGCTTTAAGTTACCTATTCTCTTCCCCGTCTTATCACACAAGAACTCTATGGCACAGGCAAGGTTAGAATCCAGTTGTCGTGGAAACAGCAAGACAAATAAGGGCGCTATTCCAAATAGGCTTAAACAACTCGTTGGAAAGAAAGAAGCATAGCCCCCAGGGTATGCAAGTAAAAGAATACTCTTTTCTCAGTGAAAGAGACTGCTTTGGAGGCTGAATATGAATTAGATGATAAGGGCATAGGTTTGGAAAACACTACAAGTATTGTCGCATGCTGATGAGGAGGCCTTACTTGAAATGGCACCTGGGGCAATGTCGTGAACTACAGGATAGCCACTTCTGTAGCTGCCCTGGTTAGTTCATATCTCTTCAGCAGATATCCCTGGTAGTTCCTCCTGCCAATCATTCCTTTCTGCTAGCTGTCCTTACTAACCGCTCATTTCTCTTCACCCTTCCTGCTTGTAATAGCTCTTTCCTGCTTGTTCATCACTTGTTAGCCAATTATTGGTTTCACACAGTCTTAGCAGTAGAGAAACTTGCTAGACTTCAGTCTTTTCTTTTATCTCAATCTTGTCTGCTCCAAGGCAGTTGGGTAGGACTAGTGATACCTCTTAATTTGATCACAGTTGGCTTACCTATGGCTTTTATACTAAAGCATATTTCTCAGAGTGGTGTTTCTGAGCGCTTTTGAGGATAAAAGATACCTAGTTTGAGTCTTTGTCTGATATTTTTATTGAATAGTCTTGCAAAACTTCCTGATGAAGATATTGATTTTTTTCAAGATTGGAAAGGTGATTCAGAGTGTTGTCCTGTTCTAAGGTGGGTTAAAATCATCAACCGCGATTGTAATGTAAATGTTGACTTTTGACTGCAGTAGCTTCTTTCATGACACAGTAATAGGATTTTTTTAATAGATAGTTGGTAATTATTTGAATTAGCTTATAATGTAAATATTAAAATCTACAAAGATATTTTTCTAACTTGAGGGCTTTTTTCCTCTTGTAGGGGATTTTTCCTGCAAACTATATTCACTTGAAAAAGGCAATTGTCAGTAACAGAGGGTGAGTGTTTTTCCTTCTCCTTAAGAAACTGCACTGTTTGTGTAAACGAGAGTGGAATCTGTAGAGTGGTTTTAGTTCACTGTAGTTTTTATTGTGTTGTTCTATGCTTAAACTTTGAAAATTAAAATGTGTGCGTGACAAGTGATATCTCTGAAGTTACATTTTTTTTATGCACAAAAGTCAATGGAAGCAAACAGAATCGGCTCTTCCTATAGTTTAAAAAACCTAAAAAAAATTAATGAATTTATAACAAAGTTGTACAGAATGACGTTTAAAGAGCTCCGTTTGTAATCTTTACTTCTGCTTGTTCCTGGTTGGCAAAAATCTGTATGTTCCTGTATGATACAGAGGTGTAGGCATATAGACAGTAGATCTTATTCATGAGTGAATTTTCACTGAGACATAGCTGACAAGGTAGCCGTGTTACTTTGGAAATTTTCAAAAGCATCTAACTTTCCTTCCCTTCTTCCCCACCTCTCCCAAAATAAAAAGACTGAAGTACTACCTCCTGAAATTGTTATGCCTTCACTATCTTTATATGTAGTTCAGAAAGGCATGTTTGGGCTAGGTTTAAATTATCTAACGTGAATAACGATACTGATGGCAACATAATGTCAGAGATTTTACTGTAGGTTGTATAACCTGCAAAGGTTCCTGTGAGATTGACTGTGACTCCTGAAATCAATATGCTGTGTCTTCACTGCTGCTCTTACTCGCGTTTTCTGTATTAAGACTACTTTGGGAAACTGATATGCAGCGTTTAAGACAGTGATCTGGTGGCAGCAGATTAAATGTGGAAGATAGACTATATTAAATCTTATTTAGTGAAGTGTCTGCAGAAAAATGATACGCGACTTCTGGAGTCTTCTGTTTTATGACCATTCTCAAAGGCACTGTGTAAAGATTGTGAAGGCAACAGCAACACTGACGCCTCATACCTTAATATGTAATAAAATATATATATGGCACAGAATGACTTCCCCTTAACATGTACCTTCCTTAGGAGGAAGACCAGTTTCCTGTAATCTCTAGTTATTAGCATTTGATGTTAGTACAGAATTTGTTAACACAACCAGTTTAGCATATTTGAATACCGATTAGGAAAGGTGATGTAATTTTTCTCAAAGGAGTACCAAAGACTGATACACCAGTTGATAAAACACAGGATATACAATTCTGGATCTGAAAATTATGATCATTGTTATGTTTTGATAAAAGAAGTTCTGCCTCTATATTTAAGAATATGCTCACAGTGCTAGTATAAAGAACAATGAAATAATATAGCATGATGTAGTGGTCTCATATTTGAGTCACAGACCCAGTGTAATGTCATTAATATATAGGAATCGTATAGAGGAAATGCAGGGTTATGAGAATGCAAAGCATGATAATTAAATAGTTAACTCAAGTCTTGTTATGCAGTCTCTTTGAATCTGGCCATACTGTTGAAGATGAATCTTCCAAAATGTTTTTTAATTTTTTACTGATGCCAAAAGCTTGTAAATTCAGTTGCAAAAATAATCTTTAGGATAACATTTTTCTTTAGCTAATACAGGAAAAAAAATAACCAAAACTAAAGTATATTGTGTTCCTTTAATCCTTTTAGTTTTCTATGGTTTCTTAAAGTTGAAGTATTTTGAATCCCTGTCTTATAATGGCATTTTACAAAGATCTGAGAACTGAGTCTTCAGCTAGAAATGGTTGCAGCATGTTCTTTAATGTTGTTACTGACAAGACAACCTTTGATATATACTAACCGTAGAATCTTTGTTTAGCTACTGAAATGGTCTTTGATTGCGAACTGAAAAAAATAGGTGTCAGGCTTTTCGCCGTGTTCTCAGTGCCATGCTTTAGATTACAAGTGTACTCAGTGGAGGCTTGTTAAGACGTGAGTTGAGAGTTCCTAGTCTTTTACTAGGCCAAATTTGAACAAACATTTGCAGGAGTAGAAAAGAGCACAATCTCAGAAGGCAAGTCTCTATCAGTGTTTCAGTTTCTTACAACAAAATGTGAGAATGTGAGGTCATTGACATAATAATATAAAAAAAAAATTGGTCTGTCTTACTGTCCCAAGATGCATTTGTATGAATTTGGTGCTGTCCAGTCCAAGCTTTAGTGGGTTGAATGTATATCTAATACAACTATGCCAGTTTTTTAAGATAGTGATTGATATTTCTTTAAGGGGGGTAGTATATATTTTTGATCCTAACGTAAGATTTACTTATATCACTGATATAAATACTAGTTTTAGGTGACCTGAAAAATGAAGAGTTTGAGCTTTTGTTTGGTACTTCTTTGTAGCAATATGCAATTTTTTTTAAAAATTTTATGATTGAGTTCTCGTATTTAAATTTGCTTTTTTTTTTTTTAAATAAATCTCAGTGTTCTCGTTTACTTTTAAGAGCTCGTTTAACCCTTTGCACAACAGGAACAGACTAGTTATGGAATGGAGAGTCTGTACCTTGCCTTCTGCAGAATTTTAATATAGCTGCCTGTATGCCCAGGGAAATGAGCTGTACTGCCTAAGAGGAAGGTCTCCGCGTCCTTCATTAGTATTGTTGGATGTGCTGCAGAGACTGTCTCTCTTGACACAGCTTGTCCCGAAACGTTTTTTGAGGCAGTGTTGTTCAGTACCACTACATAAGGACCTATGGAAAAATGCTCCAGCACAGCCTGTTTTAGAAACGTTACCTTGTTGTTGTTTCCTCCTTTTTTAAAACAATATTGAAAAAGGAGAAGTTTGAAATAGATTTGAAATCTGGCATTTGTTTCTGAAATATCATTCAACATAAAGGCTGAGTCAAGGCACTGATGGCTCAGATAATATATTGTTGTTGCAATACAGAAATAAGAATGTGATAACACTTAAGTGTGATGAAAGTAGAGGGAGCTTGACTCCTCCTTGAACGGCTGTGGAAGATCTTGACCACAAAGATACAAATCTTACTCATTTAATTGGTGGACAGCCCACTCAGATTTCATATCCAGTATTGAAAATGTCTGCTGGATAGGGAAGGTTTGTAGATGGTAGACCTTTTGGGTAGGTGATGATATTGGTCAAGGTGTTAAATGACAATGATTAGAGTGGTGTAGAGAGAAGGAATTCAAACTGTCAAGCTCCCCATTTTATAGGCAAGTTAATTTAGCATGCTGTTATCATAAAAAGTGTTTTAATTGACCTTTATTAGAGTGAAATCAAATATTGATCATTTAACTAGGAAATGCTCCACAGTCTGAGTCTTGTGGAATATAATGGAGGAACAGCTGATATGGCTCCAGAGCATGATATCCTCCAGTGTTACAACAGAGCGTTGCTCTTAAGTTATTTTCCTTTCTGTTTACGACTCTAATTCAGTTTCTGGCATTTTACAAATTACTATGCCAACATTTCTTTCTTATCACCCTTCTTCCAGGATACCTTTCTTACTGTTTTTTTCCCCCCTTCCTCCCCCGCTGTCCCCTCTTGTATAGGCAATATGAAACGGTTGTTCCACTTGAAGATTCTGTTGTGACTGAAGTCACGGCAACGCTGCAGGAATGGGCTGTGCTCTGGAAACAACTGTATGTGGTAAGGACAGTATTCTCCCTGTATTTTTTTTCTCCAATGTCTTTGAGAGATATGTTGCATGTATTTCATTCCTTTAAAAAAAGATCATGATTAATTTAAGAATTGTTAGATTAATCTTATCTAGTGGTGCTGGATACTAACTGCAGAATCACTGATCATGTGAACCTCATACGCACTACAATGGAAACTTAAGCAGATTTGAAATTGTACCTTAGATGTGAAAGTTTCATTGTTACAAAACCAAATTTTGAAGTGTTTTAAGTATGTAAGAAAGAGTATATGTGTTCAATAACACACAGAAAGAAAGATTTCTTAAAGTCCCATCAAAGACTTCAAAGAATTGTACAGCACAGGCTGTATTTGTTTCTAAGAAGAAAGTCAAACCAAGTTCTTTGCATACTGTGTTTCCATCATTTAATAAAAATAAACACTCAGAATAAGTGCACTGAGTTTTATACTCATGTATATGATATCTTCCAGCACAGCAAGACGCATTCTGTACTATCTTCAAAAAGTGATCAAGTCCATTATGAAATCAGTTCTCTTTTGGTTACTCCCACTTCTTCTAGGGAAAGCTTTTGCCTGTGATAAGAAATTTTCTTCTTGAAAATTAGCAACCAATCTAATTTGGGGATGACTTCATATAAACTTCTCTCATTTCTTTTTTTCTTTTCTGTATTACTAATCTTAGAAAAAACAAGGAGTATTAATTATATCTCAAATGCTCAGCTCTCTGGCACATGTGAAAAATATTTTCTGTTTTCTTCTTGCAAGATAAATTTTTGTGTTTCCCCACAGTCAGATGAAGAAGGCAACAATAATACTGACAATGGTATTGACTTTGAGTAAGGAGAATTATTTTACTTGCGCACCTTACACTTATTTTCTACCATTTTATTTCTTGTTAACTATTAAAACTAGTTGCCTGAGGGGAGGTGGAGAAAAAGCTCTATCTTAAAACTTTTATTTAATGATTTCCTCTCTGGGACTGCTTTCTATTCTAGCTCATTATACCATTGCACACAACATTATTGTAGTCTTAAATAGCAGGGGAAAGAATTTACTGTTTCTGTATAGCTTTGGATACATGCATCCCTTTCAAGGAGAAAAGAAATTGGCAAAGCTTCAGAGGGGAGAATAAATTGTTTTTTTCAGAAATCATACCAAAAAACCCTCTGTCTGGGAGTAATGCAGTACTGTAGCTCTTCTGACACGAAAGAACAGTCTACACCATTGTTAGACTGGTAACAGAGCTTTGTCCCGTTCACAAACTATAAAGCTGAAGACTGAGAAAGTGTAGAGAGGTGCACACATGGATGTGGTAGAGCTGGAATTAGGATTTTGTACTTGGCGTTCAGGCTAGAAGCCGTGCTGTAAGGTAACATCTTAAAATATTTTTAGGACAGTAGATGGAAATACTTGCTTGTTGTTTGTTCTGTACCAGCAGAAACTTTTATTACCTCCAAAAGTAACATAAATCATCTGAGAAATCTAATTAATGGTATTCGTCATGTTGCTGTGTTTAGTCAGCTTTATAGAAAAGTTCCATACTGTAACAAAAGTTAAAATGCCAGTTGTTACTTACAGCTGTTTTCAGTAGCATTTCATTTTTTAATAGTATCGCATTATTAGACAACTGCCAAACAAAACGTACAGCATCTCTTAACATCTCTGGGTAGGCCTAGATGTTCGTCTCATCTGTTTTGGCGAAGTTGTTACGTGGATTGTGGTTTGAAAGGCAAAGTTTGTTTCAATTAAAAATTCCAAGAACCTGCTTTAATAATAGAGATGGGATGTGTTGTAAGGGTTGTATTTGCCTTTGGAATTGGAATGTGATATCTAGGAAGCCTGGAAGGATTGGAACACAGCCTTAAGAGGGATACTTTTCCAAGGCAAAAAAAACACAGTTGAGATTTGGAAGGAGAAAAAAATAATACTAAGAAATTGAAGGGCGAAGTTAAAAGACTGATTGGAGAAAGACTATTGTAGGAATTCAGTTCATATAGAATACTGGAAACCTTCCTCAGTGGTTTCTGGCCACTGCGGTGTTGTCTATGCTATAGCTAGGAAGAAACTCTGAGTGGGGAAGCTGGAAGAGGTTTGAGTTATTAAACAAAAAAAAGTTGTCCAATAGTTTTAACTTGTAGGCCTGTGAAACGCTACTGGAAAGATGAGCCTGAGTTCACTACACTGTTCAGTGCTGTGATATTTTGTAATTCTTGCTATCAAAGTGAAAGTGAAGTGATAGTCTTAGAAAGACTTGAAGCTGAGACTGAGGAGAAAAAGCCATTTGTGTGCAATGAGTTCTTAAAGAAAGGACTATGTTTAAAATGGGTTTGAAATAAAAGATATGTGGTGCCTATCTAAAAATCATCCTCATTTATTACTGAAAAATCTATAATAGAATTTAAATGTTTAATTTTTGCAAAGGAGTAAAGATGGTATGGTTTTTATGGTGCTAGAATACAAAAGAGCAAATTTTCTCTATTTTAATACATAGTTTATGCACAGATAGATGTAGTGTTATGATACTGGAAAATAATTAGGCAGTTCTCTCCTCCTTTCTGATCTGCTTATATCCAGACTTCTACAATGAGAACAGAAACAGTAAATTCTAGTAACTGCTTTTTGTCAGAAAAAGGTTACTGTTCTGCTTAACCTACTCATTTTGGATTTTTCTATTTTCACTGCCATTATGCAAAATCTTTGAGGGATGGGGGTTCTATACGAATGTGTGTGTGCATATGTGTGTATATTTTAACTAAGTATATGATCTTATATTTTGATCTTGTATTATTGTTTTGCCTCGCTCAAATACTGTATATTATGCTTTAGATTAATTTAGACAAAATAGCTATTTCCTGTTGTGGGAAGCCTAAGAAATTTAAAATAAGGTTCTACTTGTCCTTTCTCTGCATTACAAAGACTTGTAAAGGAAAATATGCCAATGATTCCCTTCCCCAATACTATACTTAATATGGAATGGGAGGAGAAAGAAAAATACAATTATTATTGGTGCCACTATGGGTAGCTGAACTTGTTCTAATGACACTCGAAGGAGATAAGGAAGACAGAGCAGAAAAGCAAGTAAAGACCTGGAGGAGAGAGATCTGCAAGTGCAGAGGTAGATGGAACTGCCTGAATTGCATTTTTTTTTTTTTTTAATGGTGAAATGCATGTGTGTAACTATCATGTAGTTGTGCAGACCAGTCTATGGCTTCCATTGGGACAAAGAAATGTTACATACAAGGTAGTTAACTTTCTCTTATCCTGTATGGGTTGATGTGTGTGTGGTGTTTTTTTTTTTTTTTTTTTAATAATGCTTCTAAATAAAAGATCTCCAGGTTCTCCCTGAGCTTTAGTTAATTAGGTCAAACAACACTCTTGTGAGTTAAGTCAGCTAAAGAGATCACTGAAACTCACAGGTGGAGCATAGTAGCTATTTTAACAGTAAAAAAAAATTCCTCAGAGTTTAAGATGTGATGTGAGGACTGCTTCTACTGAAATAGCGGAAGACTATAGAGAGACCAAACATACTTATCTGATTTAGAATTTGGCCGAATCAGTTATTTGTTACTTTTTTGCATTGGGGTGGAAGGTGAAGAGGAGAGGGTAGAATGACTTTTGGGTTGCTTTTAGGAATAATATCTAACTAGGCTGGGCACAGATGGAATGGATGTCAGCTGAGTCTGAATCAAAATTCCTGTTGGCTTCGTTTTTTTACTGGATAGAAACCTCAAAAGATTTAAAGAGCGAGTGAAGGACTTGGGTGCAATTGCACCCGTCTGGTTCGGATCTTTTAAGGCTTCCCTGGCCACTGTATTGGAACATTAATTCAAAACTGATGGAGGAAAAAATTCCATTCCCTCACTCACTAATGTAATTTACTTTTATATTGAAGTATTTTATGAGAGATTTTTACTTAATGAATTGGCTTTAACTTCAAATCTGATGAAGCTGTGGAACTGCTGATACCATTTTCTAAACTGTGTAGACAGAAAAAAAAGTGTGATATGATCTGAATGCTTTTAAAACAGATATATGGCATCTGAGTTCTACTTTAGAAAGTCTCCCTAGAAGGACTAGGCTGGGAAGTTAAGGCTGAACATATTTTATGTTATTCATAGTCTGTGCACACGAATTACTGGAAAGATGAAGTATTTGTTTTGAAACGTATGTACAGACATGGTCTTGCAAATATCCATCCTTTCCTTTTACTGACTCATTTTCAAGGTTACCTGGACATAGGAAAATCCTTTAGTCTGTTGAAGCGTTGTGGAAGAAGGGTATTAAGAGCTTGTCTAGCCTGAATTGACTCTAACAGAAAGATTCAAATTCATCATAGCGTTATCTCTAGTCCTATGTTCTAATGTTCGTTCTAAACTTAGTACAGGAAGCACTTCCATAATTTCATCTCTTTCTATGGTTAGAATGAAGGATGCATCTTCATGGGGTGGCTAGAAGCTCAGATATGACTTCGTGTCACACAATTACTGTGACTTTCTTCAGCTGATTTAGTCTTAAGTGCTGCATAGAACATTCACTCTCAGTTTCCTTTATATTTCCACTTTCAGTAACATGTAGTTCTTCAGTTTCTCAAAGGGGACAGCCTACTGGTAAAACACCTGATTGCTTAGCAACCTAATTATAGACTTTTAGCAGATTTGTCATTTGATTACTAGAAGATTCTTGCACAACTTTAACATTTTTTTTGATTGGGTTGTGAAGAGTACGTGCAGAATGATTTGGAGCGTGGTGAACACTTCGGTGCAGTATGTGTAAGGTGGATATTTTTATAATGTGATTCCTTCAGTCATGGAAGAGGAAACTGGAGTAGCGTGTCACAAAGCATTATCTGTATCAATGTTTCTGCTCATTATCTTAGGCAGGTAGAATTTTTTGGTACCAAAAATCATTAGTTTTTTTATGCCCCTTATCTGCATCATCTTTGGAAAGAAAGGTAAAAGTCCTTCTCTTGCTTTGTTAGATTGAGATTTGCA